GCCTCCCAAGAGTTGGGATTACAAACATGTCCTGCTCAGCCTGGCTTCTTTTTTCTTTTTTAAAAAAGTGTTTTATTTTTGCTTGTTTTTTGTTTGTTTTATGTGTTTGAGTATATTGCCTGCATGTATGTAAGTGCACCCATGTCATGCAATGCCCAAGGAGGTCAGAAGAGGGTGTCGAATCACCTGGAACTGGAGCTGCAGACAGTTGGTGGTTAGTCACCATGTGGGTGCTAGGAATCAAACTGGGGTCCTCTGCAAGAGCAGTCAGTGCTCTTAACCACTGAGCCATCACTCTAGCCAGTCTTTTTTCTTTTTTGAAACAGGGGCTCATAAAACTCAGGCTGGCCTCAAACTCACTCTTTAGCCAAGGATGACCTTGAACTTCTGATCCTCCTGCCCCATCTCCCCTGGTGCTGGAATTGCAGGCCTATGCCCCAGGCCCAGTTTATGTGATACTGGGGTTTATTTTCATGCGAGGCAGGTACTCTACTAACTGTGCTCCAGCCCCAACCTCAGCCCCAGTTATTTATTTATTTGTTTCTGAGACAGGGTCTCTCTCTATAGCCCCAAATGGCCTGACTGTACCCAGCTCTCCAGGCTCCTTTTCTTCTTTCCTTCCTATTCCTCTTTTTTTCTTTTTCTTAAATTAAAAAAAAATTACCTATTTTTATTTTCTGTGTATAAGTGTTTTGCCTGCATGTATGTAAGTGTACCACATGCATGCAGTGTCCATGGAGGCCAGAAGAGGCATTGGATCCCTTGGAACTGAAGTTAAGGACAGTTGTTAGCCACCATGTGGGTGCTGGGAACCTAACCCAGGTCCTCTGCAAGAGCAGCCATTGTTCTTAACTGCTGAGCCATCTCTCTCCAGCCCCTTCTTTTTCTTTTCTTGTGATACTGGGATCCAATTCAGGGTCTTGCTCTTGCTAATCAAGTACTCTTCCACTGAGTACATTTCCAGTTAAGATCTTGGTTTTTCTACCTGGAATGTAGGCATGAACTTTTTTCTCAGAGTGTCTAAACCTTGAATGAAGTCATTTATAGAGCATATGTTCATACCTGGTAGCAGCCTGAGATTTCTGAGATGTGAAAAGAGCCAGAAAGGTTCACTTGTATCCTAAGATTAGCTCACAAAAGGGGGGTTGAGATACACAAAAGGAGGGTTAATCAGAAAAAAAGTCTTGGCAGGGCAAGGGAAGCAAGACTTAGGCACAGGCTCACTGAAGGCTGAGTTGGCCTGGTGCCTGGAAGGCAGACCCATGAGGATTGAGGGGAGGGCCCAGTCCAGGGCATCTGAACACTGGCATGCTTAGGGTCTGGGACAAAGTCCTGGGCCAGTGCAGGACTTGGTAAAAAATAATTAATTTTTCTTTTCAAGCAAAACCTCTGACTTAGGCCTTTTCCTGTCCCCAACAGCAACATCCCTGCTCAGGTTTGAACCTGAGAAGCTTCTCTGGAGCTTTCCATGGCCTCCCCATGGCCAACCTGAGTCTGCGGCTCAACTTCAGGCCCCATTTAGAAGCCTTGTAGACTCCAGGTGAGTGGGGCCAGGGAGGTGTGAGCACAGCTGGGAGAAGCACCTGCAGCTCCCCTGGGGTAAGGCTTTTCATGCCTGTACTGGGCCATTGGGCAAGCAAGGCATGACCTCATGGCTCCATCTGTGGACCTGGTGTGACAGCACGACACCTGTGGCCATAGCATTAGCCAGTAGAAACCCAGACCTCCCCCCCACTGCCTTTGGAGTGCTCCCTGATTAAGACAAAGCTTCCTGGCCCCTTGGGCCCTCATCTTCTCTCCCTTCACCTTCCTGGAGGTGAGAAAGCCAGGCCCCACTACAACAGGAGGGGGCTGCCCTGCCAGCTGCTGTGGGAGCCTCCAGTGACTCAGCCAGCTAGGGGGGTGGTGTTTATGAGCAGCCGAAATGGCTGTAAAAGTGGCACCTTGCTTTACTTATGGCCTGGCCACCCCCTCCCATACCGGCCCCTTGCCTCAAAAAGCTTCCAGAGTAACTAAAGAGATGTCTAGGGTTTGAGGCCTGGGTGGAGTCTCAGCCCGAGGTCAGGGTTCAGCCAGGGGTTATAAATCAGACTGGGATAAAAGCTTAGACTGGGGTCAGGTTCATCATCGGGGCAAATCTTATAGTGTGGGAGCAGAGCTAATCTTAGGATGCAAGTGACTTTGAGGCTGAGCTGGGGATGAAGTATGGGAAGAGGGTGATGTTTCAGAACCAGATGTGAGCTAGTGGTCCCACAGAGCCTCTAGGCCAGGACAAGGAGTTTTCTAAGGAAGCAAGGCCAGACTATAGAAGCTGAAGTTGCTGCTCAAGTCTGACGGCCAAAGTAGCCCAGGATCTGTGTACCTTGGCTAGAGCCCTACTCCCAGTGGTGACAGCACAGGCCTGTCAACCTGGGACTGCCACACCAGCAGAGGTGGAGCCAGAGTCCAGCCCCTGCTCTGGGGCTAAGCTCCAATGACTGCCTTATCTCTTTCTGCTAAGTCCCAGTTGGGGAATCAAAGAGAAGAACTCAGATCCACTCCCTACCCCTGACCTTACTTTTCCCAACTCCATTGAAAACTGACCTGAAACTAACCAGAAACTAGTCCTGCAGCCTAGGGCCTGCCTGTCAAAGTTATGCTGGCTCTGCCAGATGCATGGGTGCTATTAGTTAATGTGTGACACCCTCCCATTCCCATGGTGGCAATTTAACCAGAGGCCTGAGGGTGAGGTAGGGGATCAGTGGCCCTACCCACAGCTGTGGAATGTCCAGCAAGGAGCTCTGGAGTGAGGCACATGAGTCACAGCTAGGGGAATGCCCTTAAGGGGACTAGAGACACCCCTCTCCAGCAATTACCACAGCCCACCCTGGTCCTCCCAAGTGCAAATCTCTCTCTCTCTCTCTCTCTCTCTCTCTCTCGCTCTCGCTCTCGCTCTTGCTCTCGCTCTCGCTCGCTCTCACTCTCGCTCTCGCTCTCGCTCTCCTCACTATATAGTCCTGTCTGGTCTGGAACGCTCTATGTAAACCTAACTGGTCTTGAACTCATAGAAGTTTGCTTGCCTCCGTCTCCCAAGTGCTGGGATCAAAGGCATGCACCACCACACTTGGCCCAAGTGCAAATCTTATTTGTTTTCAACTCAAGAACTTTCTGGTGCCAGAACTAAGAACTTGGCCCTGTCAGCTCCTAGATTTCTCTCATTCCTGATCTTTCCATGAACGTTTTTGATTTTTTTTTTTTCCCTCTCATCACCAAGGGAAAGGACAATGGCCACAGTCACATAAGACTTGAATCATTTAGGACAATGAAACCATCAAAATACAGCACTGGAGAGTCATACCTGTTCTTTGGATGCCTACCATGGGTCCATTCCCAAGGAGCCTGCATGCTGTACAAGGCAGACCTGAACTCCCACTTCCCCCCACCAATAGAAAGATGTAGGGCCACAAGAAGGGAGGCGTGTCCTCCATACCAAGCTGAGAAAGTGTGATTCTGGCAAGGAAACAGCAAAAACCAGACAGCAGTGAGAGTCTAAGGCCAGAGTCCGATAGACAGTGCCTGTTTAGGACAGTTGTTTCTGTAGGAATTGTCTCAAAAGCAGCCTTTGAAAACCAGGACAAGGCAGTGGTCACAGAAGAGGAGTGTGGCAGAAAAATGTTTGGGGAAGACAGTGTGGGCTTGAGGACCCATTCCCACCCAGGGTTGAGGCCATCACTGAGGTAGTGAATTTGGGTGCTCTGAGTTCAGTTGCACAGAATGCTTCTTGGGATCCCCTAAAACCTATGGGTCTGCACATACCCCTAGGGGAATTAGGCAGCAAACAGGGCCCTTTGAATCAGCTGGCCAATTCCTCCATTTTACAGATGAGGAAACTGAGGCCAAGACATCCTGAGAGTTCTAGTGATCAGTACAAACATTTGGTAAGTAGGTGAGCAAGGATGCCACTTAATGTGATGGCATTTTTCAGGGCACCACACTTAAAATAGCCTCCTCCAACCAGCCTGACATTAGCCCTCTACTCCAAGCATTCCCAACCCCTTCTGCTGCCCCATGTGCCCCACCTGGTACTCAGGGAGGGAGGTGGTAGCCTTGGGGTCCAAACCCCACCCCCATGACTAGCTCCTACCCCATAGGCTCCTCTCTACTTTGCCCAAATCGAGGGTCCCAAGCAGACCCCAGTGGGCCACCAGCATTTGAGGGACGACCACAGAGGAGGAACGTGAAGTACAAGACTGGGCGCTGAGCCCCAGGTCTTGTAGCCTGGCATCACCCAGATTGGGACTAAGCTGTGGAGCTGAAGACACCGGGTCAGCGGCTGAATGGGTGGAAATGCATAGGACACTGGGGCTGGAAAGAGATCCCGCTAGCAGGGACGGAGATGAGAGGCTCCAGACCTGGGCAGGAGCGAGGGTGGGGACTTAGGGGAGCCGGTCCCGCAGACCCGAGCGCTAGGGATGGGTCAGAGGATGAAGGACGAGGCAAGGGCGGGGCGGGTTGTGAGGGCGTTGGCTGCCAAGCCAAGCTCTGGGCTGGCGGTGAAGCAGCTTCCCCAGGGTCCCCGACACTGCCAGACCAGGAACCCCGCGGGCGCACGGACAGCGCCAGGGCGGGAGGCGCACTAAGTACCAGGCGGCTTCCCCAGGGATGCTCTGGGGAAGCCAGCCTGCTTCTCGGCAAAGGGTCCCTGCTCATCACCCTGAGTGGGACGATCCGGGGGGGAGGGGGGTTCTGTGTTTTTCCAAAAGAGAATAAAGCAAAGCAGAGGCTGCGCCCCAGACCCGAAGTCCGAGTTCCCCACACCTCTGTCCTCCCCAACACTCATCCCAGGCAGAGCGACCCGGGCCGGGCCTCTGGAGAGCTGTCCTGGGGTTGGGGTGCAGCGGGCTGGGCTCTGCCCTCCACGCACCCGCCCGGGAGGCGGCAGAGCGCAGGAGGCCCGGGGAGGACGCGGGGGAGGGAAGAGGCTCCAGGCCGAGGGCGGGGGGAGCTGCAGACGCCGAGTAGAGGGACGCGCGCGGCGGGCGGCGGCTCGGAGCAGCGGCCGGGCGGGGGACTCAGGAGGCCAGGCGGGCCAAGGGGGATCCCAAGAGCTCCATGAAGTGCCCCCGGGGCCGCGGACGGGGCGCTGGCTTGGGGAGGCTGTCGGGGGTACCCCGACATTCATGGCAAGGCGGGGGCCGCGGCGGCGCACTCGGAGTAAGTCTGGGCTTGTTGGGGGGTTCGGACGCGTGGGGCGAGGGAGGCGGGAGTGGGCTTAGGAGGGACTTGGGCTGGGCCGCGCTGGTCGGTCTGGTGTGGGTCTGCGGCGCCTCCGCGGAGCTCGATGGAGCAGCCAGCCCCGCTGCCGCTCAGTTCGGTGGCTTTTTTTGGGAGCTTGCAAATGTTTTCGTAGAGAGAGAAAGGAAGGGGGGGGTCGGAAAGGGAGGGAGTGAGGGAGTGACCGAAACGGAGCTTGGGGCCCGCTGGAATAACGGAGGCCGGGAGATGGGGGGTGGGGGCTGGAGACGCACAGACAGGCAGACAGACAGAGCATGGGGCCGCGGGCGCACGCGGAACTAGGACAGAGGATGGGGAAAGGGGTGCGGGAGGAGGCTGGCAAGGAGATGGGGGTTCAGAGAAGGCTAAGGAGCCTTGGGGGTGGAGGACACCCAGCGGCCGGGAGCCGGGAGCTGAGGGCAGGAGCACCGAAAGCTCAGTGTCCTTTGCAAAGTTGGGATGGCATCCCTTGTTGCACACCCCGTGCGACTCTAAACGCACCCCCCTGCCCCGCCCCGACTCCCCTGCTGCCCACTGTCGCCGAGCTAAAAATAACAGCCCGGTCGCCCCCCGCAGACCGCGACCCCGACCCCTCCCCCGCCCCGACTCCCCTGCTGCCCACTGTCGCCGAGCTAAAAATAACAGCCCGGTCGCCCCCCGCAGACCGCGACCCCGACCCCTCCCCCGCCCCTCCCCCACTGGGCGTGGAGTGAAGCCACGGCTCTCAGTTCCCCTAAGGAGGAAAAAGAGAGAAAGAAAGAAAGAAAGGAAGGAAGGAAGGAAAGAAAGAAAGAAAGGAAGGAAGGAAGGAAAGAAAGAAAGAAAAGGCGGCGCGGGAGGGGAGCGGGGGGCGGGCCGGGGGCGGGGGGCCCGGCCATATGGATGTGATTTCTCCGCTCCGAGGCAGACAGGCCGCTCCGCAGCGCTCGGCGCCCGCCCGCCGCCCGCTCGGCCTCAGGCTGCCTCCCTCCCTCTGCCCTCCCTCTCTGCTTTGCGCCGGTCGCTCGCTCGACCCCGGCGCATGGGCCCCGCACCGGGCTCCCTGGCCTCGGGCCGCCCGGACGCCGGAGTCCCCTAGGCCGGGGACGTGGGCGGGGCGGCCCGGCCTGACTCTGTTCTGCATCCCCCTCCAACCATCACCAGGGCCGGCGGTGGCTGCCCCGAGGGACGCGGCCCTAGGCGGTGGCGATGGGGGTCGCCCGGATCGCACCCGGCCTAGCGCTCCTGCTCTGCTGCCCAGTGCTCAGCTCCGCATACGCACTGGTAAGTCCCTCTCCTCCACACTCAAGGACAAGAGTCCTAGAGTTGCTCTGGGGTTCCTGGAGCGAGTGTGGGCGCACAGTCTTGGGTTCTCCCAACGTTTTGAACTTTGGATTGGAGCAGCCGCTCTCTGTACCAGGATCCCTGCGTGGTGCCTGCTGTCTTTGGAGCGTCTGTACCGAAGGTTCCAGAAGCCTGGTCTCCCTATTTCTGAAGATTGTGCTTAGGGGTCTCAGGTCTGCAAATGTCTGGTTGGAGTTTCCCTACCCTATGCTTCTGTGAGCATAGGGCTTTGGTTGTCTCTTTCGAGGATGACAGTGTGATTTAGTGGAAAGCCCTGTGTGATCAGGGCTTTGACCCTGGGTATGGAGTTCCACAGATTGCTTTGGGGGACTCTGCCTTCACAAGTTTTGCTTGCATCCCTAACCAAATCTGTGTAAGGTCAGAGTCACCCAGGCAGGGTAGAATTTAGAGCCCTCTCCAACTCTCAGGATCACACAGATACACACAAATGCATGGCCAGCTCTATCCAAAGTGGAAGTCATTTGCCCAGGGAGGTGAGTGTACTGTAGTATGGGGTCCCCTGAAAAAGACTGACCTGACAGTACACCCCTGCAGAAGAAATGTGCAGTGGGGGATTCTGGCTAGTGAGGAGACCTTTGGGAGAACTGTACAATCTCCTGAGTGTGGAGACCAAGACACAAAATGTTAGAGAGGGCTAGAGAGAGACAAAGACAAAGGGTAGGGATAAGAACTCACTCCCTCACCCCAGCAGGGAGCAGGTCAGTTGGACAGACCCAGAACAGCAAAACAAATAAGAGAGCTGGAGACACTAAGGGGAATCACGGCTGCTTCTTGGGCTAGGGCTTGGGAGCCATTTCCCAGGGAGAGGGGATGTACCATCCCCTCAGATCCCATAGCAGCCTTGTCCTAGGGGTCCAACCCATTCCTGAGCCTGCCTTTGTGCCTGACTTTAATGCCCTTGTTGCCCCCTTACTGCAGCCCAGACCCAGGTCTAGACAGACATAGCAAGCAGCTTCCTTCACAGACAGAGCCTTACTCCTCCAGCTCAGCCTGCTGCTCATGGGTCCTTGGGCTGTCTTTTCCCACATCTTAGTTGTCTGTGAAAAGAGCATGAAAGAAACGCTCTTCCAGTCTGAGTCTCTCTTCTGTGGTCCTCAGCACTCCCCCTTCACCAGCACCCATGTCCTCAGAATTCTAGTCCCAGCAAAGGACTCCCAAAGCTAAAACTTTGCCCCAGAGAGGAGCTTGTACATGGGGAAACAAGTTTGGAAGTCCTGAACACAGAGGTGCTCCAAGAACTAGTTAGTACTAGGTGACAGAGCCATTTGTCGTACTTCCCTCTGTATGTACATACATATGCATGGGGTAGACAGGATGGGTATGAGTATCTTGAGAGTGTACTTTTGTGTCTATCCGAGCGAGGCTTTGTAGGCAACTGAGTCTGTGTGATTATGTGTAAGTCCACGTGTGCCTGAAGCTATGGGTCTGCGCATGATTTGCAGAAGCACAGTTGTATGTGCATGAATGTGTGTATACTGTGTGTGTGCACCCAAGTCTATTGCTTGCTTATTTGTAGTTAACAAAGCTTCTGTATTTTCTACTTGCTGCTATTGTTCTAAGCATTTCACACAGATCAGCTAGTTTAATCTTCCCACAACCCTCTGAGAAAGGTATTGTTCCCATTTTTTAAAAACTCACCTAAATCCACAATCACAATGACCATTGTCTTTCTGATGTTAACCAAGTGCCAACCCCAGTGCCTCTCTAAGCATGGTGGTGTGGGTTCCTAAGACCCCATTCTGCTCTGTAGGGAAATTGAGGTAGATGCAGAGAATTTTCCTGGTTCAGCATGGCCCTAAGCTGAAGGCAGGAGAGGTGCCAGTGTAATTCTGCAGGGGCCTTGCTGGGGCTCATGCATGCACTGGATCATCTTCTACTTCAGGGCTAGGGAATGTGGCCCAAGGGACAGGGATTCAGCCTACCCACCAAGCACCCTCTGGGCCCCCTGGGCTTGACTGGAGCCAGCAAAAGGCTGGCAGCTTGCCAGTTCTCTCTGCTCAGCGGAAGGGTTACAGCTACATCCAGATGTGTACAGGTATCCGTGAAGCCCACCAACTTTAGCTGTCACTAAACCTATAGGCTATGTGCTCAGCTGGACCCAAGGCTAGGCTTACTTCTCCAGTGACCTTGGTTGGTGAACCAAAGAGTATCTCACTGACTGTAACCAGACTCATCTTGTCCTTCTGTGCCTCACAAGGAAGAGTAGCTCTGAAGGAATGAAGTTTAGAGGAAGGGATGGGCCCACAGCTCACGTCCTTGGATAGACTTTACCTTGAGGGCACCCTAAAAGAATCCTCGGCACATAGAAATGTGAGGGAGAAACTACAGCAGCAGAAGCCGATGCTTACCATCGGAGCAGGCGTGCTATGGGCTCTGACCCTTGGGTGGGACTCAGCAGAGGATGTGTGACTTCATAAGCTGGCTGTACAGGTGACCCCTTCCAACCAACCCAGGGGCAACTCCAATGGTACTTTAAACAATTTTTATTATGTTTATTATTTGTCTGTGTGCACACTCTCTCATGCCACAGCATGCATGTGAAGGTCAGAGAACTTGAGGGAATCAGTTCTCCACTTCCACTGTGTAGGTTCCAAGTATCAGACTCAGGTCATCAGGCTTAGGCAGCAAGTGCCTTTACCAGCTAAGTTATCTCGGCAGCCCCAGGTGCTTGCTTTTAAAAGTAAGAAGGAGGGGCTGGAGAGATGGCTCAGTGGTTAAGAGCACTGACTGCTCTTGCAGAGGACCCGGTTCAATTCCCAGCACCCACATGGCCAGTACAAACCATCCTTAACTCCAGTTCCGGGGAAATCTGAAGCCCTCTTCTGACCTCCATGGCATTGCACAACACAGGTGCACTCACATACATGCAGACAATACACTCATACACATAAAATAAAAATAATAAATATTTTAAAACAGTAAAAAAGAACACATATTGAACAGTGGCTTTCCCCCAGATTCTGAGGTAGAATCTGTCACAAATATTTTCTCATTCCACCTGTTCTCCCAGCCATTTTATGGGAAAGGACCATGAGGTTAGCATAGTTAGACTGGCGGAGGTGGACTTGAACCATTTGAACACAGGTCTTCAGATTTCTGTAGTAAACTCCTTCCTCCAAAGTGGGGTGAGAGTGAACGCCAGACAGATCTTTATGTGACTTTGGGGTTTCTTGTCCTTTCTGATTTTAAGAAATGAAACTTTGGTTATTTTACCTTTTTTTTTTAAATTTCATGAGTTATACATGAATATATTGTTTTTATTTAAAAGTTAATTTCCTTTTATTTTTACTGTGTGTGAGTGCTATACATGTGAATGTGTGTGAATGTGAGTGTCTGCACACACATGTGGAGGTCAGAGGAGAGCCTCTGGGTGCTGGTCTTTGCCTATCACCTTGTTTGAGACAGGGTCTGTCTGGTTTGCTGCTGCGTACACCAGGCTAGCTGGCTCTCAAGCTTCTGAGGATCCTCCTGTCTGTCTTTAGGTGGGTTGGGGATCGGAACTCCATTTCTCATTTGTGTGCCACAAGCCCTCTACCCACAGAACCATCTCCCCAGCCCAAGAATTCAAATGATACAGATTAAACAGATGGCCTCCTTGGCCACTGCCAAACCCCAGTCCCCTTAGTAGAGAAAGCCATTTTTGACAGTCTGGGGAGGCTCCACTTTCTTTTCCTGGATTCAAACACCACTACTCTATGTACATTTTAAGGAGATAGATCCATCTTCTTGTTTTCTGTTTGTTTAAAAATTTTTATATTTTATGGGGCTGGAGAGATGGCTCAGTGGTTAAGAACACTGGTTGTTCTTGAAATTTTTTTTAAAATTATTTTTTATTTTTATTATACGTGTATGAGTGTATTGCCCATATGCATATAAGTGCACTTATGTTGTGCAATGTCCACATAGGTCAGAAGAGGGCATCGAATTCCCCTGGAACTGGAGTTATGGATGGTTGTTAGCTGCCATGTGGGTGATGCGAATCGAACCCAGTCCTCTACAAGAACAGCCAGTGCTCTTAACCACTGAGCCATCTCTCCAGCCCCTTCAGTTTGTCTTAAAATAACTAGAATGAGCTTCTCCATAGGACTTATACACCATTCATTGTACCTAATGTTGTATCTTCAGGTTCATAAACATAAATCTTAAAAGTTTTTATTAGGCCGGGCCTGGTGGCTCACGCCTATAGTCCCAGCACTTGGGAGGCAGAGGCAGGAGGATCTCTGCGAGTTCAAGGCCAGCCTGGTCTACATAGTGAGTTCCAGGACAGCTGGGGCTACAGGGAGACCCTGTCTCAAAAAGACAAAAAAAAAAAAAAAAAAGTTTTTATTTAGTTTTTATTTTATGTATACGAGTGTTTTGCCAGCCATGTATGTAGGTGCACCCGTGTCATACAATGCCTGTGGAGGCCAGAAGAGGGCATCAGATCCTCTGGAACTGGAGTTACAGATTGTTAACTGCCATATGGGTTCTGGGAACCAAACCTGGGTTCTCTGCAAGAGCAGCCAGTGCTCTTAACTGCTGAGCCATCTCCCCAAGCCCCATGAACATAAATCTTTTTTTTTTCTTTTGGTCTTTTTGAGACAGGGTCTCCCTGTAGCCTGAGCTGTCCTGGACCTCACTATGTAGATCAGGCTGGCCTTGAACTTAAAGAGATCCGCCTGCCTCTGCCTCCCAAGTGCTGGGACTACAGGCATGCACCACCATGCCTGGCTAAAGACTTTTTTTTTCTTTGTCTTTTTGAGACAGGGTCTCCTTGTAACCCCAGCTGTCCTGGAACTCACTATGTAGACCAGGCTGGCCTTGAACTCACAAAGATCCGCCTGCCTCTGCCTCCCAAGTGCTGGGATTAAAGGTGTGTGCCACCACGCCCGGTGAACATAAATCTTTTTAAAAGTTTTCTATTTTAAGTTATATGTATA